GACCCGTTCGCCGCCGTGCGCCGCGAGAGCTGCGAGTGCGCCGCGGGCCTGGCGCGCGCTACGCCAGGTGCTCGCCTCTCGCGGGGGTCGGGAATGGGGGTGCGGGGAGGTGGAGGCGCGGCCGCCAGCGGTGGGCCCCTCCTGGACGCCGGAAGCAGCCGCCGCTCTTTGAGATCCGGTGGTTCTCAAAATGCAGATTCGTGGAAACCACCGCTGAAATTGCTAAAAAGGTCTGGGATGCGGTGCGTTTCGGTAACTGCCGCTCGCCGGGGTGACTAATCCAGGCGGTTGTGGTTGCAGGCTTTGAGAAACACCGCTGCAGTATTTAACTTCTCATCCCGCTTTCTCAACAGAGTCTACCTGTCTTCCCTCTGGGTTGGACGGCTGTCTTAAATGGAGAGGCCGCTTCTCTCCTGTTTTCCTTTAATCCGTTTCCATTATTTAAAAAACTCTAATCTATTCAGGACAGTCCCTTTTTCTAAGTAGCCATTTCTGCAGAATCTTGCCCCGCTTACCTCTCCGCTTACCTGCCTCAGTCTGGGATTTGCGATGGTAGGAGGCCTCTCCTTAGTCCCGTTGGGAAGGCTTCCTGTAGGACAGAACATTTATGTTGAAGATCAGTGATCGGTTGTCAGGAGGAAACTACTTTTGAGAAATAAGCTTGGCAGATCTGAGGAGCAAAAAGGAGGTCAAGGTGGCTGGAGGGAAGGAGGGCGGGCAGTGGGGAGCTGCTGGGGGTTTGAAATTATTAAAGCCAGGGGAGGGCCAGTGGAGGGTGTGGAGAAGGGGCTCGAGAGGCGTAGATTCAGATTTTTAAAAGATCACTCTGGTGCTCATGGAGAATTGATTACCAAGATGGCAAGAAGAAATGAGGTCAGTTGGGGTCATAATTAATCCATATTTAGATGATGGTTAGCTTGGACTTGAGTAGGGGTGAACAATCTGCTAATAGATGGAGGAAAATGGATTCATGTTGAACATGGAGCTGGCAGGATTTCCTGTTGAATTGGGTGAGGGATGAGGGAGAAGGAGGTGTTGGTGGACAGGAGACAAAGGAACGGGGCTTCCTTTTGGCCCTTCCCATTAGGGACTGTCGAGATTTCCATTGTGAGTCATAAGTTTGGGTTCAAATACTGCAGAATTCTAGTAGAACTGGGAGTGAGGCTTGGGCTGGACACAGCCGTTGGGAATTAAAAGCTTTTAACACATTTCTCATTGACCCTCCCCCCAGCCACTTCACTCCCTGGTCTCTGCATCAGCCAGATTGACTGCTTCTCATGCCTTCCAGCCTTTGCATGTTCCCTCACTAGATTATAAGTTTGGGAAGTGTAGGACAGTGTGCCTTGCACATAGCAAGGTACCTGCCCACAGCCCACGTGCCCGCCGATTGTTGAGTGAAGGACTGTTGCCTCTGCTTGAAGTATCTCCCTTCTCAAAATCATCTCCCTGCTCTGCCCTCTCTTGGTGAGGGGCCTCTCTTGGATCCCCATCACACTGGGAAGAGGTAGATTAATATCCTGCCTTGATCTGAGGACCTCAGGGTTAAAGAAGTCAACCAAAGCATCTCTGAAATAGCCATCTTTTGGATGGGTCTCAAGCAGCGGCAGAACTGAGGTTAGAACGCCAAGACCAGGACTATCAGAGACATTCTGGTTCCGACTTTCTGGGAGGCCCTTACAAATAGGAAGTGGAATGGCCTTGCCCAAAGCAATGTTGGCCCTGCTGTCTACGGTAGCGCCAGGTGTCTGGCTTTAGGCACACCCGATGTGGGGACTTTCACAGTGTCCTCTAGACATGATCCCTCTCAGGCACCCAGGGCCACTGTCATCAGCTTCAGACTCTCCCTCACAGCTTCTGCCTCCAGCTGAGATGGGGTCAAGCCCCCAGCCTTTTCGCTTTGGTGCTGTTAGGGTCCCCTGCCTGTCCTGTGCCTCTCCCGGAGCCAGGGGTACAAACCTATGCTAGGCAGGCCTGAGCCGAGTGCCATGCCTGCAGCAGGGACCTGGGTGGGGAGAGGAAGTTCCAAGGCACAGGTGGCCTGTCCTCTTGGGAGTCCACGGTGCTGGGCTGGGCCAAGGCCCTCGGGGAGCAGGCCTGGTAACTGTGCCCTCCTCTGTCTCACAGACCACTTCCACATGCAGTCGGAGTCCTTGATCGGCCCCCTGATGCAGAGCATCTCCCACCAGCACTGGAAGGTGCGGGTGGCTGTCATTGAGGCCACGGGCACCGTGATCCAGCTCGGCAGCGGCAAGTCGGTAGACGATGTGCTTCCTCACTTTGCTCAGAGGCTCTTCGATGATGTCCCCCAGGTAACAGGAGTTTCTCCTCTGGGTGGTCCCTCCTCTTCACCAAAAGCATGCTATTTGTAACTCACTCCTTTTTCTTTTTTCTTTTTTTTTTTTTAAGATTTTATTTATTCACTTGAGACACAAGGATACAGAGAGAGAGAAAGCATGAGCAGGGGGAGAGGCAGAGGGAGAGGGAGAAGCAGGCTCCCCACCGAGCCAGGAGCCTGATGTGGGGCCTGATCCCAGGACCCTGGGACCATGACCTGAGCCGAAGGCAGACGCTTAACCATCTGAGCCAGCCAGGAGCCCCACTCCTTTTTCTTTTTTAAAACTATTAGCCTGTTACACCAAATGTCTTTTGTCATTTATCTTTATTTCAGTCACAAGGTGTTCTTAGTTCATGTCTCTGAGAAACTGGAGAGAGTTGAATTGTTTTCATATATTCATTATTCTTAACTGTGAGGAATATGGAAGAGGACTATTTCCTCTTTGGACAACAGTCTAACCGTGTATACAGCACAGTTTCAGAGGCGTCTTTAATATGCCGATCCATCAAGGCAGATTTGCCTGACAAGCCACAGTGGTTGGGGTACCCAACCTGGGGGGGAAGGATGGATCGGGGCCTTGGGACCCACAGAGAGACAGACAGAGATCAGAATACTGGCTTTTGTGTTGGCAGAAGTCAGCTTAGAGGCTGTGTCATGGATCTGAGGCCACATGTACTCACAGAACTTCACAAACCCCGACAACGAGGAGCAGAGCGAAGGCCCCAGTGGGCAGGCCCCCTCCCCGGGGAGGAGCCAAGTGAAGCGGGAGCGTGTGCTTCTGGCGACATGGGGTGGGAGGAGCAGTGGTAGTCGGCAGAAGTCCTCCGGAGTGCTTATAAAGTGCCCCTGCCTCATGGCCGGCGGGACGTGAGGTGTCCTGAGGTGGCCAAGGACTGAAAAGTTGGTGGTGTGGTGGTGTGGCCTCTGCTGTCTTGATGGTAGAAGTGTTGGCTCTGTGCATGAAGCACGTGTGTGCCTGCCCGTCCTGCTGTCCACACACCATCTCATTTCATCCTTCACATCAGCAGCTTGCACGTCCCCTGCAGTTGGGAGGTTATGTTACCTGCTCAAGGTTGCCCAGCTGGAGCTAGCCTCTGGGCCCAGGTCCGGTGACACCAAGGACTGTTCTCTGGCACTGTCCGGCCTCCCAGCCACGGGCACACTTGAGTTTTCTTCCAAGGTACTTTGGTTTTTTTTTTTATTTATTTATTTTAATTTATTCATGAGAGTCAGAGAGAGAGAGAGAGAGGCAGAGGCAGAGGGAGAGAGAGAAGCAGGCTCCCCGCCTAGCAGGGAGCCCGATGTGGGACTCGATCCCAGGACCCTGGGATCATGACCTGAGCCATCTGAGCCACCCAGGCGCTCTGGGTTTTTTTGTTGTTGTTGTTGTTGTTTTTTAAGATTTATTTATTTATTTTAGAGAGCATGAGTGGGAGGGGTGGAGTGGGGGAGAGAATCTTAAGCAGGCTCTGTGCTCTAAGCAGACTCTGTGCTGAGCACAGAGCCTGACACTCTGAGCTGAAACCAAGAGTTGGACACAACTGACTGTGCCACCCAGGCGCCCTTTGTTTTATTCTTTTAAAGAGCTTTATTGAGCCACAACTCACATACTGTGTAATTCACTCATTTAAGTGTTCAATGTTTTTGATACATTACATTATTTTTTTTTAGAGATTTTATTTATTTGACAGAGAGAGACACAGCGAGAGAGGGAACACAAGCAGGGGGAGTGGGAGAGGGAGAAGCAGGCTTCCCGCCGAGCAGGGAGACCGATGCGGAGCTCGATCCCAGGACCCCAGGATCATGACCTGAGCCGAAGGCAGACGCTTAACGGCTGAGCCACCCAGGCGCCCCAACGTTACATTATTTTCAAAGTATTTGGTAAAAGGTACATAACGTAAAATTTGCCATTTCAACCATTTTTGAGATAGAGTTCAGTGCATTAAGTACATTCACAATGTAACGTGACCATTGCCACCAACCAAAACTTTCTTAGCATCCCAAGCAGAATTGAGCAGTGACTCCCCATTCCTCCCTGCCCCCCACTTCCGATAGCCTCTTTCTGCGTGACTGTCTGCTGAGGCTACTTCACAGAAGCAGAATCCATAAGTGACCGTTGTGACAGACTTCCTCCCCTGAGTGCGATGTGCTTGAGGCTCACGCATGCTGGAGCACGCAGCAGGGCTCCCTTCCTTTCTAAGGCAGAGTGGCACGCGTGGTGTGGATGGGCCGTATTTGGTGCGCCCCTTCATCCATGAATGGACACCTGCGTTGTTGCCACCTCTCGGCTGCTGTGAATAGTGCTATTTGAATATGAAGGTGCAAGTCTCTGAGGCCAGCGTCCCTTCTTTTGGGCGTGGGGTGTAGACCAAGGAATAGGATTGCTGGGCCCGTAGCAGCTCTGCCGTTAGCTTATTGAAGAGCCACCAAACCATTCTCCACAGTGACTGGACCACCTTAAATGCCCAGCAACAATGCATAAGGGCTTCAATTCCTCTAGATTCTCCTAACACTTATTTTCTGATTTTTGTTAATTTATAGCCATTCTAATGGGTGTGAAATGGTGTCTCATTGTGGTTTTGACTTCTATTTCTCTCATGATTAGTGATGTTGAGCATATTTTCATGTGCTTATTGACAGATTGTCTACTTACATGCCATAAGATTCAACTTTGGGGCTCACGATGCAGTTTTGCCTGCGGGCACGTGTGCACATATGGACTGGAAGGGTTGCGATACCTGTTCATCCACAGAAGGTTTAGAGCCGTTTAGCACCTGCTCTGGGAGTCCTGAAGAGGCAGAGGGGTTAGAGGGAGTGGTCTTGGCTCCTCTTCGGGACTGGGCGTGCCTCTCAGCAAGATGCTGGTACCCCTCAGGGCTTTAGGGGCCGGGACAGAAGGCCCCACTCAGGTGCGTGTCTGTGGTGTCTTGCACCAGGGTCCAGGTGTGGCGTCCGGGTGACGTCCTAGGATGTCTGCTTCGCCTTGCTTGCCAGGGTTCATCCTCAGCATGTCTCCCTGAGCTGTAACAGGGTACAGGCAGAGCCAAAGGGACCCTCCTCCACCCAAGAGCCAGTCTGTCCGTTCACGTCAGGGCCAGCTGGGTGGGCCAGCACGTCGCAGCATGGGAGGCGGGGACCCAGAGCAGAACTGGGCTCTGCCAAGGGAGGAGAAGGCAGAGTGGTAGGTCAGCACTCACAAGAGACCTGGCTGCAGGAAGTGAGGCCCAGAATGGATTCCAGTGAAAAACAACAGCACTGTCCTGACTGGGACAGTGTCTCAGCTTGCTTGAGGTAGAGCAGGGGCAGCGAAGACAGGGGCTTCCTTGTATTGCAGATGAAATGGTTTTCCTCAAAGTAGTGTAGTAACTACGTACTGACAGGTTTCTATAAACAGCATTACTGCGTATCAATCAGGAGCTACCTGTAAATAGCTTAGTTATGTCAAAGCTCCCTGTAGACAGCATAACTGTGTATCGATGGGTCCCTGTAAATAGGGTAAGTATTGATAGGTCCCTATAAATAGTAGAACTCTGTATCGATAGCTCCCTTTAAAAGCATAACTGTGTATCATTGAGTCCCAGTAAATAGTATAAATGTGTATCGATAGCTCCCTATAAACAGTGTAACTGTGTATTGATGGGTCCCTGTAAACAGTGTAACTGTGAACCAGTGGGTCCCTGTAAATAGTGTAAGTATCGATAGCTCCTTGTAAATAGTGTAACTGTGTATCGATAGGTCCCCGTAAACAGCATAACTGTGTATTGATGGGTCCCTGTAAATAGTGTAAGTATCGATAGTTTCCTGTAAATAGCATAACTGTGTATCGATGGGTCCCTGTAAATAGTGTAACTGTGTATCCATAGGTCCCTGTAAATAGTCTTAAGTATCGATAGGCACTTGTAAATAGTATAACTGTATATCCATAGCTCCCTGTAAATAGTACAACTTTGTATCAATAGCTCCCTGTAGACAGCATAACTGTGTATCGATGGGTCCCTGTAAATAGTGTAAGTATTGATAGGTCCCTATAAATAGTATAACTCTGTATCGATAGCTCTCTTTAAAAGCATAACTGTGTATCACTGAGTCCCTGTAAATAGTATAAATGTGTATCGATAGCTTCCTATAAACAGTATAACTTTGTATTGATAGCTCTCTATAAACAGCGTAACTGTGTATTGATGAGTCCCTGTAAACAGTGTAACTGTGAATCGATGGGTCCCTGTAAATAGTATAATTCTGTATCGATAGGTCCCTGTAAATAGCTCTCTGTATATAACTAACTGCGGAATAGCTTATATCTGTTGAGCTTAAAACATGAGTGTTTGGTGCCCTGACCCTAGGTGGTAAGAGTTTGCATTTCCACAGAAGATGGAGGAAGTCTTCAGCTGATTGCTTTCTCTTTGGTGCCACCAAAGACAACAGTATGTTTCTTTGGTGACAGGCTTTCCCAAAATTTGGGGCTGCAACTATTTCTTGTTACTTGATTTTCCAAAACAAGTGCACTCCATTGTTAAAACTATTTTTGTTTCCATTTCTTCCCAGTGGTACTTGGTTTGCCCTGTACAATTTCCAGGGCTGATTGAGGTAGGGTTTCAAATCCAGTCTGGCTGCCGCCCACCACCTTTCACGCTGATGCTGGTTGACCACAAAGTTCCTTACCATAAGCGGGCAGGGAAGTCATGCGCCACCTTCCTGCATCTGCATCAGCTCTCGGGCCCTCGTGGTCCTGGGCTCTGTGGATGTTTGCTGGGACTTCAGGGGCTGGGCCACTTGCAGCCCAGGGCTGTGTCAGGATCCCACCATGCTCTGTGCAGAAGGTGAGGTCCTCACTGCTTTGTAACTTGTAGAAACATCCAGCAACTCCTGTGCCTACTCAGTGCCAGGTCCCTGAGCTACATGGTGAGTGGCCACCTGGAAGTAACTTCCTCTAAGTGCTTTGCCTGAATTGACCCATTTGGTCTGTGTGGTCCTTCCATGCAGAGGAGACTGTGATGACCTCCATCTCACAAACGGGGAAGCAGGGCAGGAGAGACACAGAGCTCACCTAGGGGACATGGGGGTGCAGAACATGGGCGGTGTAGCTCCTGGAATTCTCCCTCTGGAGCTCTGTCACCTCGGGTCTCCAGGACATGTCTGAGGACATGGAAAGGGGGTGTCCCAGTGTGGCTGGCTAAGGTAGCTTCCCCAGAAAGGCCCACCCCATCCTCCTGTGTGCACCATTGGAGTGGAAGAGTACCAGCTAGGGTTATGTCATGATCCATTGTCATATGCGTCCATGACAGCCCTCGGTTGCCCCAGGGTCACCCTTACCTTCAGGAACCCCTCTGCATTATTGCAGGTGATAATGTTTCAGTTAGAAGCTGGAATTGTGTGTGTTCTTTGTAGTTTGGATAAAACACTTTGGCCTATTGCTAAAGCACCTGGGATGTGTGACCTGCCTGGGTGTCTGCATGGGAGCCTGCCTGGGAAAGTCAGGCTCAGCAAGCTGGAGCTCGGCCGGCCCCACCTGCCCCGCTGCTGGTGGCCCAGCGGGTGTCCAGGCCAGGTCTCAGGCATTTCTGAGCACCTGCCCTCTGCCAGCATCCTAGTGACGCATAAAAATGAGCAGGTCCTGCCCTAGCCCTCGCAGGGGACTGAGTCTCATGAGCTCCAAGGACTTCACTGGTGCTGAGGAATGATGGGTGTAGGGACAGAGGGGTGCATGCCAGGAGGAGAGTGTGCCCCCATCAGTTCTGGTGACTTTTTAGAGTCTGTGGGATTGGATGTTATAAACTCCAGACCCTGTGGGGTGGAGTCCTGCCTGAGTGAACTTGAGCAGGTATCAGAATCCTTGGGTCCAGTCAGAACATCTTAAAAATGGAAGCCTGTTGCTCTATCAGAGAAGGATTACACTCTGTGGCTATTTTTGTTAGAGCAGGTATGAGATTTCTACCACATCGGTAAAAAACAATCCGTATGTGGGTGCAGGGGAAATGAGGTGCGGGGTGCGCTTTGCTGGTTGTGGTGACCCTCCTCCCTCCCCCTTCCCGCTTCCCACCTTTAGCCCCCTGATGTCAGACTGAAGGAGAAGTAGCAACAAAAATATAGCGGCTTTCCCATCCGCTGCACACCTAGTAAATATTATGGTGAATCTTTTGAGTTTGAAAAATAAAAATGTTACAGATTCAGTTGAAGCCCCTTGTGCTAATTTTTTAACAGAATTTGAATACTATATATTTGGAAAAAAAATTGGCTTGTTAATAAAATATTGTGTTGATACTATTAAAACTTTTTTTATTTTAAAAATGGGGCTTACTTAAAATGATGGAAGATGCTTAAAATCCAAGGCCTTTGGTCAGCATGGGACAAGAGTGGTGTCTGCAGAGCAACTTTGCATGAGACAGTTATTTACACTCAGGTGCTGGGCAGAAAGATCCCCCTGCCTCCCCCAGCCCTCAAACGCTAAAGTCTGAAATGCTCGAACTCAAGGGAGTGAATTTGAAAAAGGTGATTTCTTCCATCGGGCTGTGCCCAGAGCTGCTGTCGAGTCTTGGTGGATGGAATGAAGAGTCGGCTGAGGGGTGCATCATTAGCATCTGCTGAGGGCAGGGTGCAGAAATAGATGGCCTCCTGATGAGAACTGGACATTTCTTTCATCCTTGACTGAACAAACTGAGGTGAGACGTTCCAAGTTAAAGGAGAATGGACAATTATCTTTCGTGTTCGTGTGTTTCCCCCTGGCTCTGTGTGCTGATCTAACAGATCGTATGTGTATGGGTTCTCCAGCCCAACACCCCCGGATCAGTAAACCTGACTCAAGAAAGTAAGAGTGCATTTCGCTTTTTTTTTTTTTCCTTAATTGATGGATTTCCTGCTTTGTCAAACTGTTACTTGGCAACTCTGTTCAGTGCTGTTTTCCTGAGCTGAGAGAAAAGGGTAGTTTGTCTCGTGATAAAGGGGATCGGCAGGTTTCTTGAGGCTGGCGGAGGCCCATCTGTGTGGCTCAGGAGCCGCTTGGAGGCCAGCCCTCAGGCTCTCCCAGCTCAGAAGGGGAGACACAAGAAGTCTCCAATCTGCAAAAGAGCCTGGATCTTGGGGGATGTCAGAGTGACTGTCCTGGGTGTGGGGCCCTCCTGTTGCCCCGACACATGGGTAGGGTGTCAGGGGTGAGCGTAGTCGGACGGGTTCTTGTGGGTCCCCACAGGTCCCTGACCCCCCAGCTGCTGGGACCACCTTCGTTAGGAGTCCTCCTGAGTGCCTGGTGCCAGGCTGCGTTGCAGTTGGATTGTGTCCATCGGGCTCCCGAGTGCCGCCAGCATGTGGTGTTGGCTGAGCTTCAAGTGTGGTGCTGCTTAGTACAGCTACTTTTTCAGTAAGAATGACCCTCAGGGGGCGCCTGGTGACTCAGTCGTTAAGCGTCTGCCTTTGGCTCAGGTCATGGTCCCAGGGTCCTGGGATCGAGCCCCGCATTGGGCTCCCTGCTCCGCGGGGAGCCTGCTTCTCCCTCTCCCACTCCCCCTGCTTGTGTTCCCTCTCTCGCTGTGTCTCTCTCTCTGTCTAAATAAAATCCTTAAAAAAAAAAATAATGACCCTTGGGCCTCTCACGACATTAGCTTTGAGGCACCTTGATTCCTCAGCAACTCCTCAGGGCCCCTAGGATCATGCACGAGGACAACATGGAAAGATGATTCTGTGCTAAGTCAGTCCTCACTGTTGCAGGTGTCCAGTTGTTTCTAGGTACTTGGACCTCTCTAACCGTGCATGTTTTTGTTGAAAGAATAGCTGAGATTCTCTGGGATCTTTAGTTGTGGTTTTGTTTTGTTTTGTTTTAAAGATTTTTATTTATTTATTTAACAGAGAGAGAGAGAGCACAAGCAGGCAGAGTGGCAGACAGAGGGAGAGGGAGAGGGAGAAGCAGGCTCTCCACTGAGCAGGGAGCCCGATGCGGGGCTCGATCCCAGGCCCTGGGATCATGACCTGAGCCGAAGGCAGCCACTTAACCAACTGAGCCACCCAGGCGCCCCTAGTTGTGGTTTTTTTTTTTTTTTTTTTTTAAAGATTTTATTTTATTTATTTGACAGAGAGAGACAAAGTGAGAGAGGGAACACAAGCAAGGGGAGTGGGAGAGGGAGAAGCAGGCTTCCCGAAGAGCAGGGAGCCCGATGCGGGGCTCGATCCCAGGACCCTGGGATCATGACCTGAGCCGAAGGCAGACGCTTAACGACTGAGCCACCCAGGCGCCCCTTTAGTTGTGGTTTTGATTAATGACGTGCTTATGTCATTAATAATAACCACCCTTTTATTTCATATTGTAACTTTTTATTTTAAAATAGTTTAATACAAGAAGTTGCAACAGTAGCAGGAGCCCGAGGGCCCTGCTCCCAGGCTTGTTTGCCTCCCACGGTCTGTGTTGTTTACACTGGCGGGCAGGTGAGTGAGCCAGGTGCCTGGGGCCTCCTGTGTGCAAGCACTGTGCCAGGTGCTTTCCCTGCTCGCCAGAAGCCAGTGGCACATGTCCTGTTATTCTCTTACTTTCCAGAAGGGAGAATAAGCTTTGGAGAAGGCAGCAGGGCCAGAGTGCACTCTGCTTATCTAGCTGCCTTGCTGGAGCCAGGGCTGAGCAGCCCACCCCAAGTCCAAGTGCCTAAACATGCACCCTGACCTGGGTGCCGCCTGGGGCACACTTCACCTGAAGTCCCTGCGAGTGCTTTCTCTCCCATTGGCAGCCCCAGCCAACAACAGACACACACCGCCAGCGGTTGGCCCCCTTGCCCCTGGTGGGACAACCTTGGTGTGGTACCATTGTGCTCCCGAGCCCCCCAGGATTCAGCCGAGCCACATCTCTGCTTGGCCTCTGCCCCATCCTGCTTCCCTCCCATGATGATTTCAGGTGTCTGGATTCCCACCTCAGGCTCTGCTCTCAGGGAGCTAGACCTTGAGCACCTCGTGTGTTTCTAAGCTCGTTTCTTCCGTGGTGGACAAAGTGGGCAGAGGCATGCACGTCACCTTCTCAGGTCACCAGCAGCAGAGCTGAGGGTGCCCTGCTGGCTTCGCTGGGAGGCCCTGGAGCTCCAGGACCAGAGGCCTTGGCGGTGTGGCCTCTGCAGGCTGACATTTCCTGGTGGCTTGCCATCAGCCGTTTAAACACCCACAGCGAGAGCGCCCAGCCTGGCCGGGAGGGTCCCACACAGAAGACTTCACAGGCGCCCCACGTTGCCCAGGGCAGCAGCGTGGTCCTGCGCTAGCCAGCAGAGGGTCAGGCCGCAGCCCAGGGATGTGAGCTCGCTCCAGCAAGACGAGGTGGCCCTGACGTTTTCTCCAAGCCCGAGTGTGGACAGCAGAGCTGCTCTGGGACCTCAGGCCGGCATCTGGCCCCCACGGGTGTGCACGGCAGGCCCAGCGCCACCCTGCGGTTCGCCTCCGCGTTCTTGGTGCCCGGCTGAAGCCTCCCCTTGCCTTTGTGTGTAGGTGCGGCAGGCAGTGACTTGCGTGGTGGGGGGCTGGCTGCTGGCCCTGCGGGACCGCTACTCCTTCTTTCACAAGCTCATCCCACTGTTGCTGAGCAGCCTCGAGGACGACATACCTGAAATTGCGTAAGTGCCGAAATCACGCTGGTGGCGGTGGTGCTGGGGGGACTGTCGGGCCTTCGGTTTTATGGGGCTCAGAAGCCTTAGCTGTCGCAGATGTGGGTCCCTTTGATTCTGGATTGTCTGTCACTGAGAGCCGTGGTTGTTGCTCTGCTCCCGCAGGGTCTCTCCCGGAAGCCCACCTTGTCCCTTTGTTCACAAAGAAGGCTTCCTTGGTTTTTAAATAGCCTGTGTTTGTAGTGCTCGGGGCACACATGTAGAAATCGGTCATGGTCTCGTGCCATCAGCAAAGCGCTCAGAAGCCCGACGGAATTCCCAGCCCCCGCAGGGAGAGACTCGGCGCCACCGCAGGCCCCACCGGCTCTGCAGGGCCTGCCTGCCCTGACGCGTGTGTTGTGCTGCAGGCTCACGGCCGCCAGCCTCTGGGAGAAGGTCGGCCTGCAGTGGCAGAGGGAGAACGAGGACGACCTCAAGGACAAGCTCGACTTCTCCACTCCCCCTCCAGCCCATCACCCCTCACCAGGTGAGTGCAGCCTTCCCCAGGTCTGCGAGGGGAGGCTCTCTGCTTGAGGAGGAAGGCGTTCCCGAGCCGCAGCGCGGAGCCGCGGGGAGACCGGGCCCAGGCGGCATGCCAGCAGAGAGGCGCTGCGGGCGGGATGCGTGTCCCCGGCCTCCAGGGTCATTCAAGGCCATGGGGACGCCTCCGTGGTGCCCTGTCCTCCAGGCCAGCTTTATTCAAGGGAGCGTGTGGGCCGCCGCGGACGCACTGGGCTGTGTAGCATGCACAGCTGCCGCCGCCGTAAGATACAGCCCCTACAATTTGGGGCGAGGTGCGCACTGCGAACAGAGGCTCCCCCTCATAACCTTCCATCCTTCCCTCCTGGTGGTTCCCTGCCGTGCCTCGAGCACACGCGTGTGGCGTGTGCGTGTGTCTCCCAAGCACCTGAGTCCCATGTGAGCGGTGTTGGCGAGGAGCCCGCGGGACCCTGCGCCTCCTCCCTGCCCTGCGGACCCGCACACCTTTCGTTTCTTCTGTTCTGGAAAACGCTTTCTTGTGGAGACGAGGCATCTCCCAGTTGCCATCTATCTGCCGAGTGTCTTCGTAGAATAAAACGCTGATGAGGGGCCCAGAGCGGCAAAGACGCACCCCATCAGACTGCGGCTGTGTGAGAGCCCACGGCCGGGGCGCCGCACACCGCAAGGCCAGCGTGGAGATGAGCGCTGTAGGTTGTGTTTGGTGTGATGTTGACTTTGAGGCCAGCAGAGGAGCCCCGCCTCCCTGTTAAGCCCGCGAGTGCAGTGACTGTGATTCTTCCTGCTCAGCGTGTCCTCTCAGGCGGCCTCGCCTCCCACGCTGCACAGTTGGTCTGAGAGGAGATCACACATATTGTAGTAAAGGGACAAAAATTAGGTGCTAGCAGGGATAGTTCTCATTTAGTAAAGTCTGACAGCATAACGTCTTTTTAGAAACGTAGACCTTAGGGACACCTGGGTGGCTCAGTCGTTAAGCGTCTGCCTTCGGCTCAGGTCATGATCCCAGGGTCCTGGGATCGAGTCCCACATCGGGCTCCCGGCTCAGCAGGAAGCCTGCTTCTCCCTCTCCCACTCCCCCTGCTTGTGTTCCCTCTCTCGCTGTGTCTCTCTCTGTCAAATAAATAAATAAAATCTTTAATAAAAAAAAAAAGAAAGAAACGTAGGCCTTAGACATAAAGGTTGCTCTGGTTTTATTTTTTTTTTTTTTAAAGATTTTATTTATTTGAGAGAGAGAGAATGAGAGACAGAGAGCACAAGAGGGAAGAGGGTCAGAGGAGAAGCAGAACCCCCATTGAGCAGGGAGCCCGACGCGGGACTCAATCCCGGGACTCCAGGATCATGACCTGAGCCGAAGGCAGTCGCTTAACCAACTGAGCCACCCAGGTGCCCTAATGTGGTTTCATTTTTAAACATGCCCTCATTGCCTGTGAGGGAAGCGCAGTTCTGAGGGGGGTTCCTGCCCCGCCCATGTGTGCCCTCTGCCCAGGGGCAGCGTCTCGCTGGTCTGCCCTGGCGGCAGCCTGTGCACTCTGCTTACTTATGGGCAGGCTCACCAAGGCTGGGATACGGTGACCGTCCTCGGATGTGAGCTCCGGGACGCTCCCTCCCTGGTCCTGGACAAAACCCGAGGTTCTCTGCTGATAGCACTCCACGAGTCACCGTGGCTCTTTGCCCACACGTGGTCTGCATACACAGGGCTGTCCTCCTGCTGCAGAGACGTTTGTACCCGGTGCTGGCGTGGCCTTGGGTCTGCTCTCAGGTCACCCTGCAGAGTGGGGTGCAGGCTGGCAGCGAAGGATGAGCAGGCTCTGAAGGCTTGTTTCAGTCCAAGCAGAATGAATTTAGAATGAATTACAATCAGGTTGGCAGGATCGGGGTGCCTGGGCGGCTCAGTCGGTTGGGCATCCCTCTCTTGGTTTTGGCTCAGGTCGTGATCTCGGTCACGGGGTCAAGACCCACGTTGGGCTCTCTGCTCAGTGGGGAGTCTTCTTGTCCCTCTCCTACCCCTCCCCCCCACTCATGCTCTCTTTCTCTAAAATAAATAAAACCTTTTAAAAAAAGTTAGGATAAGCACTAGATTTCATTAGATTGTTGACAGTTTTCTCCTAAAATTACTTCTTTAAAATTTGAATTTTAAAATCTGAGTTTTCAGATTCTTTTTACACCATTTCACACGTCAGATTTCATCAGCCACTTCCTCAGAACCTTGCCCCTGGCTGCCTGCTTCTGCACACACACAAGGCCCCCCTGCCGCCCCCAGCTCGGCTGCCGGCCTCCCCTCGGGTCCTGCACTGTCCCCCACGCCTCGGCCACGCCACAGCCCCGTGAGATAATCCTGTCAGTACCCTCACCCTTCGAAGGCAGAGTCTGACAAGCGCATCACTGCCTGACCACCGCTCGGTAGGATCCGGGGCATTCTGTCAGCCCCCGACCGTGCCCGGCCCCTGCCGCTGGCACTCCCTTCCCATCCTTCCCAGGATGTCGTCACACACACGGTGCAGGCCGCCCGCAGCCTGTCTGACCTCCAGCATTCAGCCCCTGAGGCTCGTCCAGGGGCCTGCCTTCCTGCTGTGGGGAGCATTCCCTTCCGTGGATGCACGTGGCTTACCTCAGACATTTGGGGCATTTCCGGGTTTTGGTGATTTCGAACAAGGGTGATCTAAGCACTTGTGTACGGTCTTTGTGTGAACTCAGTTCACTCTGGGTTAAGCCCCGGGGAGTGGGACTGCTGTGAACTGGGAGCTGCCTTTGTCCCGCTCTGTGGCCGGCTGCACGTTTGTGTCCCACCTGCAGGGGGCGGGGTTCCCGTCGGTCCCTGTCCGCACACAGGGTGGCGCTGGGCCTGGTGTGTATGTCATGTGCTCACGTCATGTGCTTACGTCATGTGCTTGTCCACATCCCTTCCTCCGTCAAGCGTCTATTCAGACTTTTGTCCATGTTAAATTGGGCTGTTATCTTATGATGGAGTTTTGAGAATTCTTCATACGTTCTGGGTACGACCCTCTGTCGGATCTGTGTTCTGTGACCCTACTCTTTGGCTGGGTTCCTTCTGATGTCCCCAGCTTACCGGCAGCCGGTGGCCCTGGCGGGACCTTCCCCCCACCCCCGCTCCCTGTGACTGATGTGGCCGATGACTCCCCTCCTGTTTCACGTGCCTCGCTCCCTGTCCCAATAGCATACTTCTCTGAGTGTGGACGGACAGACTTAATGAGGTGCACAGCTCATTGCGGCGGGGCCCGTGTCCTGTCCAGTCTGGGCTCGGTCCGAACACTGGGCCAGGAGTCTTACAGAGCCCCGTGTCCACTTTGCTGAGAAAACAAGGTGCGCGTAGCATAGACCATCATCTGTCACCACGCTGTTTGCCATTTGACAAGCACAAGTTTCCTGTTCCAAAATGGAAATGAAGCTCCACTTTTAAAACCCAGCTATGTGTTGGGAAGATCGGAAGGGCGTCATTTACTGTCCCCGAGTCAGTCACTCCCTGAACAAAGTGCCCTTCTGGGGTAGAAGGGCAAGTTCATGCTTGGAGAGGATCTGCGCATCCGTTGCTGCCCGAACTGCCAGCAGCAGGATCAGGTGGTGACAGCGGGTTCCGGAGTCCTTTCTGCTGGAAATTAGCCTCCTGTTTGAAACTGTTTTCCTTGGTGATGCTTGAGTGAACAGGGAAGCACCTCTTCATAATGGTGAATGGCTTGCCAGATCTGACGCAAGAGAATAGAGTTGGGTTTTTTCCCCCCCATTTTAGGAATCAGTGGAGTTCCGTTTGAATAACTACCATTGTAACGTAGATCGCTTTCTTATGCCCTTCAGGGTTTTCATGTTCTCTTGAGAGCTCAGACCTGCTCTGCTTGTCTGTTTCATCCAAGTATTTAGAGAGGTGGAAGTTGTCAGAAAAGGTACATTGTGCAGAGGAGAGATGGGGGGACGGGTTTGCTCTGGGGGGAATCAAGTGAGGGTTTGTGGCATGGAATATTACCCACTTGAGCTAGCCTCGGGTACTAGGGAGCAGGGTAGCTCCCCGTTTGGTGCTGTAGGAGAAGGGTGGGGTCCCAACGCTCAGAGGCTGCAGGCAAATCTGGTTTTCTCCTTATCAAGTGGTGAGGCGCCCAGGCCCAAAGGGGGCAGCGGCTTGTCAGGACCTGCACCCAACTGAGCCAGGTTGAGGTTCACACAGGTTCACGCAGCTTCAGGTTCTCCTTGGTGACCCTCCCTTACACCCTTCCCGATGTCCCCTGCCCCCTGCACGGAGGGGTCTCCATTTCTTCAGGGAGGTCAGTCTCTGGTCGTTTCTGAGATGCCTCCGCTTTGCAGACAGCTGGGGCCCTGTGCAGAACACCCAGTGTCATCCTTCCTGTTTGTGGTGGTTTACAAATACACAGTACAGGGTAAGGCCTGCCATCTGAGTTAGATAAACTTGGTAAAAACAAAACTGATGATCTGTTTTTCTGGTTGCAATTAAATTACACTTTGTCTAACTGTTCAAAAACCAAGCCGATTTAATGTTCCATATGCTTCTGGCCCAGCTTAGTCAGGGTTTGGTGTTGACCTCTCCTTGAGTTAAAACTCCAGTATGGTGGGGGGCGCTTTGGCCATTTGCAGACCACATCCCTCCCCTGGAATCAGGACTCATGTCAGGCTGCTGCTGTCTGCACCCGGGATGTCACCCCCAGGCCCGGCAACCCCCAGGCGGGGCTCACGCTCCTCATGACGGCAGGGGCTGTGCAGAGCTCTTTCAGGGGGTTCAGGCCTGCCTCGTGGGCACCCGCCCAGATCAGTGATAAAGCCCCAGCTGAGCTGATCGGGAAAAATGACCTTGGGAGGAATCAGGGGCACCTGAAGGGGAAGACAAAGCTCACCTGGGCTTTGAGTGAGGGTTTGAACTCTGACCCTCAGACCTGAGAGGTCAGTTCCCAGAGCCTCTCTGCCTCCTGTGTATACAGACTTGAGTTTTGACACCCAGCTGGCTTTGACTTTCCTTCCCAACCCGCCTTTACAAACGGCATCCCCTCCTTAGGTGACGCAGGATTGTCGTGTTGCTCCTGACCTTCACCGTTGGTTTCTACCAAAGTTAAGCAATTTTTTGTTGCCATCGTATTTAATTTTGTTTCAATTATGAAAACAAATTGGCTTTACAAGTATTTGCGTCTGGTCTGCTTGTTGTAAGGTTGAGCAAGCCTTGTAATCACAGCTGGTTCTGTGGGGCTGAGCCAGCACACCAAGCCCTCTGCCCGCCCCTCTGCTGGCTTGTCCACTTGAGCTGTCTTTGCATGCTTGCTGCTTGCGGAAGTACTGCAATTATGTTTTCAAAGAGAAGATTAGTAGATAGTGGCTGAGTTGTAGTCTGGACTCTGGACACAAGAAGTTAATCATCGCTCAGGCCTCCGGCGCTTCCTTGGATTCCAGGACAAACAGAAACACTGACCTTGCGTTGTTTCCTAAAATCAACAGTAATCACGTGTGGAAAGAGAACCCTCACACGTTGCTGGTGGAAAGACAAAACGATGCAGCCTCTTTAGAAAAGAGTTTGGGAGCTTCTTGAAGTGTTAAACATGCCCTCTCTGTGTGATCCCGTGACCCAGCTGTCCCACCCCAGGTAAACATTCAACAGAGATGAAAACTGCCCCCCCAAGGCGTGTGCATGCATGTTCACCGCAGCATCATTCATAGAGCCCCAGAGTGGGAACAACCCAAGGTCCAGCAGCTGGAGCCTGGATCAACAAGTTGCGTCTGTCCGTGCCGTGCTGCAGGGCTCAGCCGTGAATAGGAATGAAATTCGGATGCATGCTGCAACATGAATGAAGCTCAGAAACATCATATTTAGTGAAAAAGCTCATTCATACGAGATCTCTAGGAAAGACAGAACTGTAGGCAAGGAAGGCAGAGCCGTGGCTCCTTGCGGTGGGTAAGTGGTTGACCACGAGCAGCACGGCACCCTGGTCGAGCTGGGAGTGTTCTGAGACTGCGTGCGCATCGACTCAGCTCACAGGGTTGAAAGTGGCTTCGACGACATATAGGTCACACCTCAGTAAAGCTGTTTCTAAGAAACTCGCAGAGGCTGTGTCCGTGTTAGCGGTCTGTTGGTGTTCAGTGAGCGTTTCCTGGAGGCTCCCCACCCACAGTACAGAAGACGGCGATTCAGTGGCCCCTTCCCCTGCCTGGGACTCAGTCTCCAGGGATAGCCCTCGAGTGATGGGTCTGGGAGCTGCTGCACCCTAAGGGTGCAGGTGCTGGTGAGTCCCACTGTCCGGGAACACGGGCACTGTGACAGCGGGCTGCCGGAGGGGTGGTGGTTTTGGGTCACGTCTGGGTTGAGCATCTTGAATGTAGGAGCTGCTGAGGATAGGGCCGGGTCTGGGGCCACCCTGGCCACAGGCCATGGCTCGCCCGAGGTCTGTCTCGGGGTACACGTCTCTGTGCTTGGCCACCTGATGCACTCTGTGTCATTGTAATTTGATTCTGGATGGTTCTCGATACCAGTAAGATCCTTATCCATTTGTACCTCACATTCTGTTTACTTTTGTTACCTATTCGCGGGGAAGCTGTGCTGGGGAAGCTATGCCCTCAGAGGGAGCAAGGCTTACTTCTGTCAAACTGATGATTTTGGAAATTACTGCTTTGGAAACTTCTAGGTGCCAGTTTGAATTTGCCTGAGGAAACGAGCTGTTGAATCAGCCTGGCGTTCACGATCCCTGTCTGTGTCTGAGCACGGCCTTGACCTAAACGTAAACAAAGGAAACACCGGCTGTCCCCCCGCTTCCCAGAAGCTCTCCCAGGATTGGGAATTGCTGCCGTGACTCATGTGTGCAAGGGTCATAGCTGTTGACAATGCAGAAGCTGCCCGTGTCCCTGGGCCTCGCGAGCACCCCGTGTACCACGAAGACCTGCCGTCACTGGAGCTGAGCCACGTGCGCTGCGGGGAGAGTGATGGGACCAGCCAGGCCCAGAGGCGTGTGCCCTTGTTTCTGGATGCAGCAGCCGTAGGAGTGGTGTATCCATCTACACCCCAGGGCCGTCTGCCCAGCGCCCTGGGGGGCGCAGTCACAGAACTATGGGCAGGGTGGGATCCCCGGGCAGCTTAGCTCTTTATTCTCTTTGGAACTATTTGGTTGGTTGGTTGTTTTTTAACTTTGGTTTTGCATTACTTTTTTGGAAAGAAAAGCAAATCTTTTTCTTAAGTAGTGCTGAGTTCATACCCTGCTTGTGGGCAAATAAATACGTGGAGGTAGAGGGATGCAGGTAGACATAGGTAGATGGGGCAGGCTTCCTGCATGTCGGAACACTGAGCGTGGCCTCTGACCATTTGTAGGATTTGTCCAAGTTACCAGAGATACGCAAACAGACGTAGGTATGAAGATGTTCGTCATAGTGTTAATTATAATACTGAGAGCCCACAGATTATAAAGCTCTGTTCTGTTAGCTCCTTAAAATCATACCCTGGATTCTTGAGTGTTCTTTTGGTGCAGTGCTGACCGAGAGCGGTGACAACGTCCTCTGCCGTCGGGACAGTTCTGCGGAGCACTTCGTGGGACCAGGGAACTGCACTGTGATGTGTTTAAGCTTGATGAGCCTCAGCCCTGTGTGGCTAGCAGCTGCCATGCTGGAAAGTGCACCTCTGGCATCTAGAATGGGGGGCAGCTCTTCCTGTAAAGGACCGTACGGTCGGGGTGTCCCGTGTAGGAGGCCACGTGCGTGTCCCAGCTGTTTCACCTGCTGGGGTGGCGTCCCAGGTCCTGGACAACGGTAACTGAGCAGGTGTGGCTGCATCCCACAGCCACTTGATTCCCAGAAACAGGCAGCAAGCCCGGTGTGGCTTCCGGGCCACCGCTTGCCAACCCCAGGTCTAACACAGTATTGTCATTCCCGCCCCATTACGTAGCACGGAACAGTGGGCTTTAGAACACACACGTGGCAAGGCCCCGTGTTTCTTTGCAGTTACCGCGTAGGCCCTCGTGTCCCCAGGCTTGTGCCACCAGCCGCCCTGTTTCGTGTCCCCTCGTCCAACAGACTTGCCACGATGGATACGCCGTCAGGAGCATAGTATTGTTTGCTTGTTTGTTAACAAGTGCATGTAAACAGCCAACGTGGAATCACTGGAACTAATTTTCTAACATAGCATAAAAATAGAAAAGTAACAGGGAAAAAATGAAAATGGGGTCTCATGGTAAAACTGGTGCTTTTACTAAAACACTCTCTAAACTCTAATCTGTCATGATTTCATTTCTATATTTAGAGTTTTTTAATTAAGAATTTTCTCAAGTTTTTATTTTAATTCTGGTGAGTTAATGTACAGTGTTCTTTTAGATTCAGTGTATAATAGAGTGACTCCACACTTGCCTACGTCACCCAGTGCTCATCATCAAATGCACTCCTTAATCCCCGTCAGATGCAGTCACCCCCCCCCCACCTCCCTTCTGGTCACCATCACTTTGTTCTCTAGAGTTAAGAGTCTGTTTCTTGGTTTGTTTCTCTTTTTTTCCCCTTTGCTCATTTGTTTTGTTTCTTAAATTCCACACATGAGTGAAATTATATGGTATTTGTCTTTCTCTGACTGACTTAACTCGCTTCACATAATACACTCTAGTTCCGTTCCTGTCATTGCAAGTGGCAAGATTTCATTCTTTTTTTATGGCTGAATAATATTCTAGTGTGTGTGTGTGTATACATTGCATATTCTCTATCCATTCATCAGTCAGTGGACACTTGGGCTGCTTCCATAGTTTGGCTATCGTAGATAATGCTGCTATAAACGTAGGGGTGCATGTCTCCCTTTGAATTAGTATTTTCGTGGGGTTTCTTGGTAAATACCTAGTAGTGCAATTGCTGGGTCGTAGGGTATTTCTGTTTTTAATTTTTGAGGAATCTCCATACAGTTTCCAGTTTGCATTCCCAGCAACAGTGCATGGGAGTTCCTTTTTCTCTGCATCCTCGCTGATCCCACTGTTGCTTGTGTTGTTGATTTAGCCATTCTGACAGGTGTGAGGTGGTACCTCATCGTGGTTTTGATTTGCGTTTCCCTGATGATGAGTGATGTTGAGCATCTTTTCATGTGTCTATTGGCCATCTGGTTGTCTTCTTTGCAGAAATGTCTGCTTATCTCTTCTGTCCATTTTCTTATTGGATTATTTACTTTTTGGGTGTTCAGTTGTATCAGTTCTTTATGTATTTTAGATACTAACCCTTTATCAGAGATGTGATTTGAAAATATCTTCTCCCATTCAGTAGGTTGCCTTTTAGTTTTGTTGATTGATTTCTTGGCCTTGCAGAAGCTTTCTATTTTGGGGTGCCTGGGTGGCTCAGTTGGTTAAGCATCTGCCTTCGGCTCAGGTCATGACCCCAGGGTCCTGGGATCAAGCCCGATATTGGGCTCCCTGCTTGGCAGGGAGCCTGTTTCTCCCTCCCCCTCTTCCTGCTGCTGCCCCTGCTTGTTCTCTCTCTCTCTGTCAAATAAATAAAATCTTTAAAAAAAAAAAAAAGAAGCAGCAGCAGCTTTCTATTTTGATGTAGTCCCAGTAGTTTATTTTTGCTTTTGTTTCCCTTGCCTCAGGAGACAGATCTAGAAACATGTTGCTGCAGCCATTG